GCACGCATCGCATGCACCGCGCGCACGCACGCCGCACGTGCACCGCACGCCACAAATGCCACCTACGTACCACCTTTCCATGAACCCTATCAGGCATTCCTCTTGAATTTAGATAAGTTAAAACCCCATCTGTGGAATCAGAACACAAGACTGACAGGTCGTGAATTGCTACATGAGGCTTTTGCAGGCTCCGACCAGTCATGTTCAGCGGAATCTGTGGCTCGCATGGAGGCACTGTTTGCTCTGCCAGGAACAGAGCAATGGGAAAATTTGGTGCCCTAACACCTTCTTCTGGAACAAGCTCGAGGCTGGACATGCCGAATCATCCGTGGATCAACAATTGGAGGCTTGCTGCCTTGAACTAATCATGCTACTGTAGGCAGCCCCAAAATGTATTTCTGCAGTAGCTGGCCCATAAACATTTGGTTTTTGCCAGGGGTCCTGATGCTTGGCTGCGTTGGGTGCACTAATGTGGCCACAAAGGCTGGAGGATACCCTGCTGTTCGGCGTTGGGCCAGGCTCACTGGAGCAAAAGTGCATGTTCAGTAATTCTTGCGCAGGCCGAAGGTGGCATGTACAGTAACGAGGATTTGTGGGTTTGTGTTGCTTTGTGCATGCGGCTGATTTGCTCAAGCCATGTTACTGAATGCGAAACCGTACTGCAATTGATGTATGCGCCTATGAGATGGCTACCGCTTCTGGCCGCGCTGGGCGCTGGACAAGACGAAGGTGGTGAAGGCTGGGTCCAACTCCTAGAAGCAAGGGGCAGAAAAAACGAACCTAAAGTCTGGCTGATCCCACACCATTCAACCCCCAAGCCTGTTCAGAAGCTGTAGCAGAATGCGACATGGAAAATAAGAGCTTTGTTCGATCCCTTGCCTTTGTCCCGGTGCCTTCTGTCAACCATGTATGCTTTCAGACTACTTGTTCGAAGCTACGTGCCCAAATGAGCTGGCGCAAGACAGCAGTTTGTACCTCAAAAAATGCTAAGTTCGCCGTCTGGCGCCAACGCTAAGCATGTGTGCAGCACTTTACGGAGAGTTCCAGCTCCCTTGTTGGCAGCTTCATGGCTGCGTGATTCAGAACCTCGACCTCATGGCCGAAGCAAGTGCAAGAAAGTAAAAGTTCGCCAGAAAGGGATGCAAAATGAGTTAAAGCGCCCCCGGCATGCAAGGACAGGACATGCTTTGTCAACGTCAAAATATGTTCTCTTCGAAGGCTGAATGGCGGAAGGGTGTGGCTAAACGACGAAACGAACTTCTGTCCATGCTCCATGTCATCGGCGTGACGTGAGTCATCAGAAGTGAACGTAGCTGCATTACAGGAAGGTATCGTGGGCGAGAGAGTCGAGTGCTTTCAACTTGGAGGATGCAGGGTGAACCTTGTAGCCGCAAAAGTTGAGGAGGTAGCGACTGTGAGCCAAGCAGGCGAGGTATATAGGTCATACAAGGAGAATATGAATTTGGTTTTTGGTCGAGATGGAATTATTACAGACCCCAACACAGCTGGTACTGATGTGAAGCTAATTATGAGTTGATTATTTTTCCTGCGCACGTGTGGGTTTGTTTCTTGCGGTCGGCTCCTGTGTCCCTTTTCCTTTTCCAGCTTGCGTGAGGGAAAGGGAGGGCATAGGTGTTTCGGCAATTGACTCGATTGACGGCAGTGTCTCTCAGCTGCCTTAAGTGGTCAGCTTGGAGGACCTGGTAGCAGATGGAGCCGTAATCATGAAAACTAGAAGCTTCAGCCCAAGCTAGCAAGGTCGAGATTGAGTTTCTGCTCACCATGTGCTTGCATGGTGTGTGAGTCCGAAGTGTGTGCGCGGCTCAGCAAATACTGTCACATAGGGACCGGCCAAAAAGCAAACGCCGCAAACTCCAGCAATCATCCAAGGCGCGGCAATGCCATGACAACAGGAAACAAGTCAGCACATGACCTGTATCCAAGCAGAGATTGCAAGCAACTACAAATAGAAGAATCTGCCTCAGTAAGATGGACGTCGCATTCTTTCGTCGAATAGCTCCTGCAGGGTCGCGCTTTGGACCAGAGTTTGGTCGCCTTGCAGAAGATTTCAGCCGGGCTGGTTTCCAGAAGCTTTTGATCATCACCGACTTTGATCACACGCTGACAAGATACGTGGGAAGGGACGGCAACCCAGGCAGTGCAGCTACTTAATCTTGACTAATCCCACGTTGTAGCTGAGCCTCTACTTTTTTCCTGACAGGTGAGCAGTGCCACGAGATTGTGCTGAAGCACCTCAACACCGCATCTTTGCCAGAGGTGTCGAATGTGTTTCGAGACCTGAGGGCCTGGGAAAGATTGACTGAAGCTGAGCGCATGGCAGAGTGCCATCAGGATCCGGAGAAGAGGGCAGCCGCCACGAAAAAATGGTTCAAGTCCTTTCATGAGGTATCCTGCCAGCACAGACTTTCGCAATTCGCCACCGAGTGCCTGCAGAAAAGCAATGTATGCACACGGGAGAACCTGGACACAACTTTCCAGTGGATCCAGAAGTGGAAGGTCCCTTTGTTCGTTATTTCTGCGGGGATTTGCGAACTGCTGACAGAAATCTTAATGCTCTCTGGAGCTGAGCTGCCTTCCCATGCTTGCTTGCTGGCCAACAGCCTAGATCAGGCAGATGTCACTGTGACATCACGTAGCAAAGCTGAGGGCCTTGCAAAGATTGCCGAGTTTCCTCGCCTTGCTGAAGGGAAAACACATGTCCTACTTCTTGGCGACAAACCTTCAGACTGCGCACCCCTGCAGGCCTTGTCACCTGAGCTGGTGGTTTTGAGAGTCGCCTTCCTCAACCAGTCGGAAGAGATGCTTTTAGCTGAATACTCCCATCATTTTGACGTCTTGCTGGTTGGGGATCCGTCGATGGATTTCGTCAATGCTTTCCTGGAGTCGCTGACAAAGGAGGTCAGAGGTGGTTCTCCTCGTCTCTGAGCGAAGTTTCTGCCGCGCCCGCATTCAGCGACAAAACAGATCACTGCCTGCACATCATATGTGCTAAGAATTGATGGAAACAAATCCTTCCACAACTTGAAGCGCAACATTTCAGAAGAGGAGTTCGGGAGATGTATGTGAGCCTGATTGCAAAACGTGTCAGAATTCATTGCAGGTGCTGAGACGCAGCTCCTACAGCTATCGCTTCACACACAGCTTGTCCAGCCCCAGGCTGTCGTTGAGTCGCTTTGCAGCAGCTAGCCGAGCTCTCTCGCATCCGCTTTCTCTGTCTCTCTTCTCTAACCATCTTCTTTCGCCTCATTTGCCGTTCTCTTGTATTGGCAACCTTCTTGGAAAGCAGGAAGTTTATTCCCATGTGTGTGTGGGGGGGAGCAGTGTTTGTTTTCTGAAAGCACGCATGATTCGCACCCTTCATCACCAACTGTAACTGCAGTTAAGGTACCCAAGGCGTGACCTTGCTTTCGCGCATGTTCCATACAACTTTGGCCACACGGTGGAAGAGGTTGGCTTCATGTGCGCACGAAACCTCAGCCAAATGTTCTGTGTGATTGGGAGATGGCACTAGCTGTTGTGAGCCGGTGTTGAAGTTTTGGTCACTTCTGTGCAAGACCGCAGGTAGCTTTTGCTGGCAGTGGCAACTTGTTCTCATACCTCACAGCGATGGCCATTGGCGATGCTCCTGTCAGTACGACACTTTTCTGCTCACAGAGATAGGAATCATTGCAGGGACACAGTCCGTCATGATTATTTTAAGATGTGCCCAGCAACTGTTGGCATATCCGGTTCACAGCGAAGTGCGGCGCTGGCTCAGTATGACTTGGCAATACTTGGTGCCTCATCCCCGAGCAAAGGATCTTGCCGTCGGCTCGTCAACTCAACTTGCTTGAGGCCAGGATCGACTGAATGGCTACGCGAGTGTCGGCGGGTAGTTGTTGGGTACTAAGGCCGCAATGCAGCCGCAGGGCGAGATCTGGGGGCATCTCTACCCCTCTTTGCACGTGGTGTCCAACGTCACAGGCCTGGCGATTTCAGTCAATTCAGCTGAGGGGTTTGCGTAGCTGCCTTTGCCGTAGGCTGCCCACTCTACTTCACGCCAGGGCATCTTGTCCGCAGTGTTGATGGTGTTCGGATATTTGTGCGAGCATGACGCAGTTCAGTGGCTGATTCTGCTGTCTGCATGTTCTGCAAGACACAGTAGATCGTGTACTGCACTTGCGCAAAGGAAGCATTGGCCAAGGGATATTGCAGAGTCGTACTTCTCGAACAAGCAAATCTTTGGCTTGCTCCGAGATCCATATGAACGCCTGGTGGCAATGTTTCGCGGTGGTGTGTCTGGATATGGGGGTAACTTCGCAGAGGAGCTGAAAACGTGTGATGTGGATTCCGCTGTGCGGAAGATGATGCTTCAATATCTTTCAGGTGATATTTACGCAGAAGGTTGCACTTTTCTTCCACAGGCAGAATTCTTTGATCCGCCCTTCGGGATCACCGTGCCAGTTGATAACCGATGGTTTCCTGACACTGCAAATGACGTTCTGGCAAAGCATGGGTATACAAACATGAGAATTGCGACTGATGCCTGGCCGATGCAATGTGAAGTGCCATCCCATCATGCGTTGTGGCCTAGTGCATTCTTCATTGGGGCTCCTTAGCGTTGGCTGGTTGATTGGCTGAAACTTGTCAGCACATTCGGCTTCAATTGTCTGGACATACTGAGGAAGATATTATCCACGTCTTCAACTGCAACGAGGCAGCTGCAGGGCATGCGCTTCGTCCTTTTGTCTTTGTATGGGCCTAGAGACAGGATTTGTGAACACGGGCTCATGTGAGCCGTGCGGCATGCGAGATTTGGCAGCTTAACCTGCAAGTGATCCGCAGGTGTGGGCTGGAGATCTAAGCTGCGACACAAAGGCGCTCGTGCGAGAGGCTAGGGTCCACTAGTGCGCTGCAGACCGCCTAGTGAAGCACGCCCACTGTCTATGGTAATATAGGTCAACACAGAAGTAAAGGTGGCCGGCCGTTCAATGCAAGAACGAAGTTAAAGAGTCCGGGTACCACGGGACAAGCTGACTGCTGATGATGTGCCATTCCCATCTTGCACAAGGTCTATGCTCGGGACTTTGAACTTCTGTGCAAGTTCTTCGGGTATTGCGACGTCCACGAAAATGTTTGTTTGCAGAAAGTACCGCTGATGTGTCCAAGGAACATGTCGCAAAAGCTGCAAACTGCCAGCCGGTGTACATAGCACAGCCCACAGCAACTTCTCGCGGCAAAAGATGCTTGCGGGTGCAGAAGTGATTTGACGTTGCGGTGAAGACTACCACTGCCAACGTTTCTGCAGCTGCTACTATAGCTGCTACTACACGTTGTCATGGCAGCTAGTATTGAAGATAGTGCGCAGTCCCGAAAGTCCGTGCCTCAAAGTAGGCGTACTAGGGCGAGTGCTTGTAGCAGAAGATAATAGCAGTCATGCTGGTGGTCGTCGGGGTGGTCGTGGCCGTGGCGGCGGCGGCAGCAGCGGCGGTGGCGTCGGCGTCGGCATAGGCGTTGTATGTGGTCGTAGTCCTTGTTTTTGACATCGTCGTAACTGTGGTTGTATGTAGGGGTATGTAGTGGTAGTGATAGTAGTATTGCATGCTGGCAACTTTACCTCTAGCTGCAAAACAGGAATCCAACACACACAGACTGCCAGCCCACAAGGCCCAACCGGTCCTGTCTGTCAGCACCGCTCAGCTGCACAGTCACTGCCACCGGTCGTGGCCAAGGAAAGCTGCTGTGGCCGTCTTCTACCAACGTAACCTTTTCCAGCTTGCATCGGCATCTGCACACGACGGCCCTAGCGCGTTATGTAGCTCCCTCAGTTGCGCGGCCGAGAACGGTTTGAGGTCTAGCAGCCACGCGTGCCTACTGCAACAAAAGATGCGTGGACATACTTGCAGCCAGCCGCTGCAAGTCCATGGGCGCAAAACTGCCAGCTCTTCTCGCCAAAATGTGCCGCAGCTGGTCATCAACCCCCGAGCCAACCTCCTCCCCTTAAGCCTCCCACCCTAAGCCCCCATCCTTGCATGAACATCACACTGAAGCATGGCAGCGCACGATAGCTTCCAGCTTCAGAGCTCTGACAGCCTGAAAAAAAATGCCAATGAACACCACGCAAAGGCGTGCGAGCGGCAGAAGCAAACGTAGCTGTCAAACTCTGAAATCCTGAAAAAGCCCACCAGAACGCCTGGCATCCATGTGCCCGGCCCCAAGCACTACTCCTACTCCTGCTACGTACAGCCATGAACGACCAGCCTACAGATGCTGCTACTATTGGCACCAGGAGTACTATGATGAAGGCTGTTGTTGCTGTTGTTGTTGCTGTTGCTGCTGCTGCTGCTGTTGTTGTTGGTGTTGTTGTTGTTGTTGTTGTTGCTGTTGCTGTTGCTGTTGCTGTTGCTGTTGCTGTTGCTGCTGCTGCTGCTGTTGTTGCTGTTGCTGCTGTTGCTGCTGTT